CCCCCCCCCCTCCTCCCGGATGCCACCACATGTTGCTGTAGACCCGAAGCTGCGGCGCACGTACGGCCACGAAGGAGAGAAGGGGAGACATAAGCGCCACCTCTTCATGGAGGTCCACGACATGGCGAAGGTCAAGGGGAGGCCGCTGCTCACCCTTCAGCAGCTCATGGCCATGCCAAGCAGCTATGACCCTTCGGCCACCAACGCCATGTCTGACACCACCATCATCCTCAATCATTGGACTCGGTGAGCGGACCGCACGCGGCCCCCGAAGAGTCCCCGCTGTGCCCTTGCGGTGTATGGTACCAATTGCTGCTTTCGTGCTTGCGCATGCACGCGAAAGCACCCACGGCGCGTACACACGAAAGTACCCATGCTGCGAGGCTAACCCTTCTGTTAACGCTTGCACTTGTTCGGTTAAGTTTCAGAGGAAGGATGTGGAGAAACTTCATTGCAGCATGCGGTGTGTTTTTTTTTAGTTTTTTGAATGGCACTCGGTAAATGCTGGAGCACCGTATGCATCACCTTGAACGATGTGCACCTGGTCCGGAGCTTTCATGATTATCACGGTGTTCGATCTCCATGGAGGACAAGGGGTGGAATTGGAGCAAGGCGGTGGCTCCGTGCATTGTTTATCTGCTGCCCCCCCCCCCCCCTCGTAGCGGTGGTGGTACGCACGAAGCACACGCCATGTATTTCGCGTACAGGACCAGGCCTCATAGAGCGATGCCCAACAATCAAAGCTCTCTCAGTCCACCAGACAAACACACACCAAGACGCAACAACACCAGCGCCTCGAAACGTCGTCCGCACAAACACACACACACAACTATTACCACACAGGACCACCCTAACGGAGCAGCTGGACGCGGTGCTTCGGCTGACCGTTCACCCCGCCGGCGGCGTGTGGGTGTGCGCCTTCAACTCGCCGCGGGAGGCCGAGTACAGGGCGGTGGTTGAAAGCTACCGATCGAAGTTCGGGGGGGATCGAGGGGGGGGGCTCTTCTTCGTGGCGTCGTCGTTCAACTTCAAGTACTACGGAAGGTTCCAGATGGCGCTCCAGGCCCGCACCAAGTAAGAAGCATGCGAATAGTAATAGTGATAGTGGGGGGCCCACGCACCCATCCCCCCGCCCGCCTTGTAAACGCCTCCCCACACTTTGTTATCTTTCAATCTTGGCTTCGCTTTTTAAAATGTTCTCCGCTCTCGATCTCTGGTGAACATGTGTGCGTGTTTTTTTGTTTTTGTTTCTTTCTTTGTGCCGTCGTGTCAAGACGCCCGCGTTTGTATTGGCTCTGTTGTCTGTCTGGCTGTCACAACGGAGGCCGTGTTTTCTCTGGGTAGATCGGGACGTAAACTCGAGGGGCTCAAGCGCTAGAGACGGAACACCCCCCCCCTCCCCCTCTCTCAACCCACTCTGTCGCTCTCCCGATCCCTGCTTGGGCGTCCCGTTCTGCCGGCCCCCTCTCGCAAGGTACGTGTGGGTCATCGACGACGATGTGATGCCCGGTCGCCACTTTCTTCACCAGCTCAATCACATCGCTGGGGTGAGTCGAAGACACCGATCGTGTGAAGAGTAGATAATTTTGTGTTTCATGTACCCGTATTAGGTTATTTCCTAAATTTATTCACGGCTTGACCCAAACTGGGTGTACTCTCTGAGGCTGAGCCGCTCGCCACTGACGATGTGGGTAATTTTGCAAGTGCAGCAATGGTGGCTCGACTGCAAACTCCATGGCGCGGGCATTGACCGGCCAAATTATGTCCCGTTGTGCCCGCTCGGAGATGAATCGATGACGATCAGCCTACCGACGTCTGGGGACGTCTGGGGATGCCCCGTATCAACGGCGGGGCAGGCAAACACCGAATCGTGGCAGATACGCCATGCGTGAGTGCACAGCAGCAACACGATTACAACACTCCAGTTGCTGGCAAGTATTAACCCACCCTGTGCGATGCACCCGAGTTTGTGGTGCACCGGCCTGCAAGGACCGGCCTGAACGCTCTGGGTTGTGTACGGCGCGTGATAGCGGGACGGGTCTAACCCCCCCTCCCCCGCGATGCTTCGCCTGGAAGCGGTGCGCCTTGGTCAATGGTCCAGTGAGTAGTGATTGATAAGCACCAAATAAAAACGCCCCCCGTCTCCCGTCCGGTGTTTGCCATCGGGGTTGGGTTTTCGTCGCTTGGCAACGACGTTGTAAAACAAGCCAATGCACTTCGTGAACTCGGCAACCAGGTTACCGTTTTTGTTTTTTGCCTCCGTTTTTATTTTGGCGGTAACCATAATGGTGGTCGAGTAGATCATGTTGTGCGGGGTGGAGA